ACTAGCGTTAATCTTTCAGTTGTATATTTTGTTAGCAGTGCGTTGCTTTTGTACCATTTCATCAGTGATTGTTGTACGGCTTAATTTACTTACACGTTGTTTTTGATCTTTTTTGACCAAAACGTTATATTTTTGTTTTTCTCAGTTGAAAATACAGTGAAACAATAGCTCTGTTTACCACTTCCAAAAAGTTTGCTGGGTGAAATTGAGCTGCTCTTGGCTCAATCTTTTTTGTTACCGTTTTTTTATTTTTACTTTTACTTATTTAACTATCACTGCATGCTTGTAATGTTGTTGAATAAAACGTCATACGTGACATATACTGTTTCTAGCTAAACCCCAGCAGGTGGATGCCATTAGTAATCAGTGCTTTGAGCTTCATTATGAGGCAGGACGAGGAACAAAAGTCATTAGTAGCTGTTCTGACTTTATTAGACCATTAAGAGTGTTTTACAGACAGCTCTTTTCACACGTTTCGGTCTAAAACTAATTTTAATTTTGAAAAGCTCTTCTGGTCTCAAGTCAGTAACTACAGAAATTAATTATTCAGAAATATAAATATTAAAGGATATGAAAGGTTTGAATTAACTTGGATCAGGCACGTCCAAATTCAGGCCTGAGGGCAGATCGCGGCCCTCAGTGTCATTTTATGTGGCCCTCTGCCTTGCTAACCCGATAAGTTGTCTCTGAGATCATAAACACAAGTTCACTGTGTCATCCATCCAACTCCAGCTCAGCCAATATAGACACTGGGCTTGTTCTAAATCCCAGTACTTGACTTGGTTTGCACATATTTTACGAACATGGTTTTTGATTCCCTCACTTCCATTAATGATGCTATTGTAGCTGGTGAGATGCTAAACATGTGTCATTCAGCCAACTTCAGCTCTGTTATAGATCATTTTGAAGCTCAGGACACCCCGAGGCCAGTCCAGACATTTTTTAAATCCGTGTCATCAGCTCCTGGACTAGTCTGGAGAACTAAAATGACCCTCTTACTATAAATAACTGGTATGTTCAGTTATTGTGTGTTTTTATGTTGTTGGATCATTTGGGAGACATCAAGAGCCAACGACAAAAAAGCACTCTGATTCTCTGATTACAAAAGTATGTGGTCCACGAAGAACACGTTTAATCTGGTTTGACTCTGCACCTGTCGTCGGGCACAGAGAAACAGGAGATGACAGAAAAACAATCGAAGCTGGAAAAGTTTAACGCAAAGTTGTTGAGTCAGAGAAAGCCACTGGGAAATATGACGATGCAGATTTGTGGAGGTGCAAATGAGCTCAACACAAAATACAACAAAACCCAAAAGACACCTTACAACTTCAATTTTCTATTAATCCTGTTTTTTTAATTGAAAAGGAGTCATTTGCTATAATGGCCATTAGCCCTGCAATTAAAGCCACTGAGTTCTGCCGTTCAGTGGATTAACGCAGCTCTATAATTATATAAAGTAGAGTCATCAGTGTCTGCGTGCCAAATATTAGTTTAGAATTTACTTTGGATTCATTGACAATTCTCATGCAGTGTGAGAATTGTCCTGGTTTAGTCCTGGTTTAGCTCCTGTTTCGGCTGTCTTCGAGTGTCTTGTGACCCTGTGACGGTTCCGTGCAGCTCTGATAGCCGCTTGTGCTTCTTGCGGAAAAAGTTAATCTCTTGCTTTCGCCGAATGCATCAGGTCTCTGTGTCCACTGCCTCTCCCGCCGCACATGCTGTTCCTCACACAGACGTGCAGAACCATTGACACGGCAACAATCGATAGAACCATGGACGCTACACATGGTGCGGTTGTTGTTTTTGCATTTCCTAGAATGTTTTGCGGTTCCTGCTCGGCTGTGATAGGTCGAGAAGCCTCTGCCTACATCCCCCAGAATGCCGCGCGCTTCTGACTCTGCTTTACTTCCTGTTTTTTATTCCTGTTTTTTCTAACGGGGTGAATTGAAACTATTGAGCCTGTTTTTTATTGATATCGTTATCGTTGTATCGCCCAGACCTAGTGTATTGTAAACGGTTTCCAAACCCCTCAGACTGCTGGATTAGGCCACTGTCTGCCCATCTTATTAACACATTCTCTCTCCTTTCCCAGTTTGAAAAGCGGCCCTGAAGCATGTTCTAATGTTTGTGATATGAAAATGTTAGATTACCTCCAAATGTTATTCGTCATTTTCATTACGGAGACGAAACTTGACAATTGCCGCTTTGTTTGTTATGAGAGCTGTCAGTGCACGTCCAGGGTCCAGGCCGTCTCCGTCTGAATGGCTTCGGTTTGACAGCTCCTCTGATTTTACTGCATAAATATGTTTTTCATCTGCGCTTAACGACATCAGCAGCGGCGCTTCTGTTTTTACTCATGACAATCTGTGCTTTTAGTGTCAACTCCTACTGTAACATCAGAACTGTCAGCAGCTGTATGTGCTCTTTAGGAAGCTCTGCGGTCTTTCACCAGAGATTGGATTCTGCAAAATCACTGCAAGAACTGAAAATGTTTGTTTGGAGGAGGGTTTGAAGAATGATCAAATACAAATAGTTATCCTTTAGCCTTGTGTTGTCCTCACACCGTGAAAAAATAACCTACGCATATTTTGTTTTAGCTAATTTTTGATCATTTTTCCTTTCATGACCGCCCCTGGATCATTTAGGCAAGGCAAGGCAAGTTTATTTATATAGCACAATTCACACACAAGGCAATTCAAAGTGCAGAACAAAACAAGTAAGCATTAAAATCATAAATAATCACAGTACATTAAAAAGAAAGATAAAAATATAAAATCCCTCAGTTGTAGCACAGATAAACAGAACTGTCTTTAACCTGGTTTTAAACATTGTCAGAGAGGAGGCCTGTCTCACATCTTCAGGAAGACTGTTCCAGATTTTAGCAGCATGAATCTGAAAAGCAGCCTCCCCATGTTTAGTTCTGACTCTGGGCACTAACAGGAGTCCAGTCCCTGTGCTCCTCAGCGTCCCAGCAGGAGTCCAGTCCCTGTGCTCCTCAGAGTCCCAGCAGGAGTCCAGTCCCTGTGCTCCTCAGAGTCCCAGCAGGAGTCCAGTCCCTTTGCTCCTCAGAGTCCCAGCAGGAGTCCAGTCCCTGTGCTCCTCAGAGTCCCAGCAGGAGGCCAGTCCCTGTGCTCCTCAGAGTCCCAGCAGGAGTCCAGTCCCTGTGCTCCTCAGAGTCCCAGCAGGAGTCCAGTCCCTGTGCTCCTCAGAGTCCGGGCTGGTTCATATGGGACTAACATGTCACTAATATATTTTGTTACGAGGCCATGGAGAGACTTGTAACAAGCAGAGCTGTTTTAAAGTCTATTCTCTGAGCCACAGGAAGCCAGTGTTTAGAAGTTTAGTGTTTAGACCCTAATTTAGTGTTAAAAGTATTGGGTTCTTCAACAACAGACAATATCATTTTTTATTATGTTTTTACTCCTAGTTTAGTGTGTTTTTATTTTTCTTTTCATCACTGTGGCCGGTAATATCGACTTAAGTCTAGGACAAGGGTTAACCACAGTGACTCTTTCAAACCCAAGTTTAGACCCTTTCTTTTGGAGGAAAAATCATCAAAATTCATCTGTTGTGGGAAGCTTTCTGAAAATCTCAAACTTTCTCAAAGAAAAGAAAATACTGTATATTCTAAAAGTGAAGATTCTATTTTTTAGATAGCACAAAATAAACAACAAATTATCAAATATTTACATTTTATATATTTAAAAATGTATTGAGGTTGTGGTTATAATTATTTTGAAATTGACCTTTTATACAATTTGTAAATAAACAATAATTTACAACCAAATCAAATAACACAAAAATGATAATTTAAAGAATATATCAAAGTATTTTAAGTATTCAGAATACAGGGACTACTTTTTCCAAAGTTACAGAATACTATACAAAATACATTTTAGGTCATATTTTCAGTATCCTGGAGAGTATTTTCAAAGTATTCTACCCAACACTGCTTATGGTTCCACAAAACATAAGTGTTTTGAGTGACTTCAGAATGAACGTATTGAAATGGGTGTTGTGCATATATAAATAAAATTACTGTCAATAGTTTTAGTTTGTTTGTTTTTTTTATCTGTGGGAAACATAAGTCTATAAGTTATGGGACATTTTTAGGAAGCTTGCACAAAGGTTTACTGCAGGTACTGTATGTGCTCTACGAGTGCTTTTCTAGTTTAAAATCATGAAAGTTAAAAGAGATTTACGGCTCATCATCAGCAAGTGATCCTATAATTTTAATTTTTAAGTATTCTGTGGTATATTATCAGTCTCTCTACATGAAAAGTACAAACCCTAGTGTGGAAAAAAAGTGTCATCTCGGAGGAATTCACCATAACTTATGAACTTAGTGCAAAAAAGGTCAGTCTCACGGCGTGTTCTCTACGAGTGCTTTTCTCGTTTCTGTTTTTCAAAGTTAAATAATGGTATGCAAAAGAGAGTTACTGCACAAACACTAAACAAACGGTTCTTCACAGATCTGTAAATGATCCTATAATTTTAAATGTTTTCTGAATATACCCAGAACTGACGCTCTTCCAATAAGTGAGCAATGGAAGAAGTAATGTCTCAATTATTTTCCCACTTGAATTGAGGAACGAATGCTGCTTCCCGACACAAAATCCTCTTGCTTCATTGGTAAATCTTATTTCAAAAACAGCCAAACGCTCAAATCAAGTTAGTGCAGCAGCTTCTCGTGTTCACGTCTGTCTCTAACAAAGGGGGCGGACACAAACAAGGAAAGAGGAGGAACACGCTGCTCAATTTGCTTAATAAAATTAGGGAATACAAAAGCAGTCTGCTCGCGCTGAACTGCAGTTAATTTCAGCTCTGTGTGGCCAGCTCTGGACCAAGTCTGGACCAGGTCTGGACCAGCCCCAATCCAGCTATATCCATTTGAAACTCCTCCTTCACACCTGACCACTTCAGCTTTCGAAACCCAGGGGTGGCCTCCAAATTGGGTCCCGCCACATCCAGCATCACAAAGCAGCCGAGGCACGTGTCCCAACATGCAGCAGGCGTCCCAACCGCGAGTCTTGGGAGCGCGCCGGGTCCAGACCAGGGCCACGCTCACCCCGGCGGGCCCCCCCCAGCGCTGTCAGGGCTGCGGGGACTTGCTGTGCCAGCCCTGGTGTCTGCTGATCTCGCTCACGCTGCTCTTCCTCTCCCTCCTCTGCAGCTGGGCCGTGGTCCACCTCACCCTGGGCACCCACGGAGGAGCACCCTTCCGGATCGCGGGCGGGTACAGCCAGAACGTGCCCCAAGACGACACCGCCACCATCGACCCGCACTTCACCACCAACTGCACCATGGGTAAGTTCCAGTGGGATTGGGTGTATGGCAAATGCACTGCAAAAAATTATGACAATGTGGGGGTTATAGACGCTTGAATCCAGTGGTTTTTAGCTTAATCTGACACATTCTGACTGTTGAAAAATATATATTCTCCAATGGGACAAAGACATTTAGTTTAATTTAAATTTCAATGCTTTATTTTCTCATTTTCTCTATTTAAAACAAGACAGTTCTGCTTTGTCCCGTTGTAAATCTTAACATTCACTCCTTGAAGAAAGAAATGTGTTTTTTCTTTTGATTTTTTAAGATGTGGGACCACTGATTACTGTTTTATGTTTTCGTTTTTTTATTTTACCTCTAGCGCCTACAACCAAGTGATATGCCCCAATAATGTAGATTTCAGTTAAAGGCATGTTTCAAGGAGATATAGTGACTCAAAAAGTGGTTGAGGAAACTACAAAAGGGTTAAACACAGTCAAAATGTGCTGAAATTAGGCATTTTTGATCTATTTGTCGTCACTTTTTGCAGTGTGAAATGACTGGCTGCAGATATTATAGAGCTGCTGTGATAAATATCTATTTTTACAGTTCCCCACACATGCATACTGTATATCAGACCTTCATCTAATAGTTATTGTTGGGTTTTTCAATATCATATGCATCGTCTGAAACGTCCCGCTGTGGGAGCAGTACACATTCTCTTATTTGATTATTTCATGGGCTCGTCCGAACATTCTCTCTCATGATGTTATTTAGTCTGTTTTCTTTGGAAATCTCATTGTGTTTATTGTTAGAAAGCACTGGAACACTCTTGCATAAAACAGTCTGAGAGCACTAAACAGAAGTTGAAATTTACCGGTGACATTTGGAGATTTAGGACATTGTTCAGAGTTGTTTTTGTGTCTGTGATTAAAGTTAAGGTGTGGAATCATTACGTATAATAACCTTTGTTTTGTTGTGAGGATTGTGGCTTACAGCACGTTATAAGTTTAACGAAAGAAGTAAATGGACTTTTGAAGTTTCATTTTCAGACAAAACATGTGAGATTTTTGGATCAGTGAAGCTAAATTAATGAAGCTAATCCATCCATGACAGACTTAAGTTTCGGGGGTTACAGTGGCTCAGTTGGTAGAGCCTTTGGGCCTGAAGGTTGTGGGTTCGGGCCCACTACAAGACCTACTTCACGACCCCCACTGAGGTCTGCTGTTGTTCTGTCCTTGTTCTGGCAAGACACTTAACCCCACTTTGCCTGAAGCCCCCGTGGAAAGATCTCAGCTCCTGTGGACTCAGCCCCTGCAGGAGGATCAGTGAGGGGCTGGTGCTCTGACTGCCACCTCCCCCCCGACCCAGAAATGGATGAAGGGGAAGAAGATGGATGGATGGATGAATTTAAACCAAGAACAGACTAAACCTATTCCAATTTTTTCCTAAGACTCATTTGGAGGATTTGTTTTCATCTGTGAATCAGAGAGAGGGGGCTCTGAATGAATGGCAAGGCAAGTTTATTTGTATAGCACAATTCATACATAAATTCAATTAAAATATAAAATCCCTCAGTTGTATGCACAGCTAAACAGAACTGTTTTTAACCTGGTTTTAAACATTGTCATGAGAGGAGGCCTGTCTCACACTTTCAGGAAGATTGTTACAGATTTTAGCAGCATGAATCTGAAATGCAGCCTCCCCATGTTTAGTCCTGACTCTGGGACCAGCAGAAATACTTATAATAAAACTCAACAATGCGTAATAATAGTACAGTACTTTTCCAAAAAACAGAACACATCAAAATATGTCTTATTTTTCATAAAAATAGTGTAGGAGATCAAATGTGTGATGCATTTTTGTAAACACATTTATTTTAGATAATTCGCAGAGACAGGAGTTGGGATTCCGTCTTTTTCTAAAACTCTTTTTACTGTCAACATCTATGGGCGACAGTAGCTCAGTTGGTAGAGCATTGGCCTTTGAACCTGAAGGTCGTGAGTTTCGAGCCCACCGTAAGACCTACTTCACGACTCCCACTGATGACTGCTGTCGTTGTGTCCTTGGGCAAGACACTTAACCCCACTTTGCCTGAAGCTCCTACTGAAAGATCTCAGATCTTGTGGACTCAGCACCTGCAGGAGGATCAGTGAGGGGCTGGTGCTCTGTGGACTGGGTGGCATCTCTGGCCACCCCCCCTACCCAGAAATGGATAAAGGGGAAGAAAATGGATGGATGGATGGATCTATGAATGCCTCGTCTCTGTCAAGCAACGTAAATGACGAAAAACATCACAGAAAATCTTAAACGAGCCAAATTGTCTCATGCACAAACTAACAAAAACAAAAAAGAATCATTTCAAATTTGACAAGAGGATCCTTTGTCGCCGTGGCTTTAACCAGATTTAATAAAAGCGTGTAAAATGGAGGCAGTAGGAGGTTATGATCTAGAACATGGGGCTCAGTGTGTGGCTAAATGTGCGTCACATGTTGTCGGGCGCTTGCTCCTGTGGCACTGTGCGCTTCATTACTGCGCTCGAGCCGGAACCAAATGTGACCAAAACTCTCTGCTCTGAAAGATATGTCAAGCAGCAAAGAGCTTCTGGATTAGATTAATGTCACTGATTTCATTTCCTGTGCCGCAGACGCACTGGGATCGCTGCCCGACCAGGGAGGGTTTAGTTTTGGGCGAAATTCACAAAGGTTTGAAGTTGCTTTTAGATATACAAATGTTTTTTAATGATTATTTGAGTGAATAAGCGGAGTCTACAGTCGGGAGAGCATCGAGGAGACGTGTGGAGAGAAGAATGTTTATTGCAGATCTAAACGTAAGCACACACACTGGTTTAAGGTATTATTTTTTTTTTTTTGGGGTCCGTTGAAAGCAGAATAATTTCCTTAAACAGGACAATTAAAACAGACTGACAAAACCTTTCAAAATAGTTGGAGTGAGTGTGAATGGGGGATGAGGGAGGGTGGGGTGGTGCACTAGTTATGTAAGTATATCTTGTATTTTTATGGTAAACTGATTATTTTTGCTGACAGTTGAAAATAATAATAATTTTTAAAAAAAGGTTTCTTTGGCAAAGTTTATTTAGTCAGACACCAGCGACGACTTGAGCTAAGTTTAACCATTCAGGAAATGAACAAAGAAAGTGTTTTTATGAGTTTTTACACTGCAAAAAGTGATGTAAAATAAGTAAAAAAAATGTATCTTAAAGGAGCAGTTTGTAAAAATCTGGCCGTAAATGGTGCTGCACTCTCCCTGACTCAGGTTGCCAGATATGCAGACGAATCCAGCTGGGACCATAACAGCTGAATAGACAAGAGTTTAGTCAACAACAAATCTATAACCAACACCTTTTTCACAAAGATAGAAATCCTGGTTTTATTCCTTGTTTTGTCGTTAATGATTTGAGAATCATAACGAGACCTTTTTTAGTTCTGCGCCACATGGTACTTTACCAGTGAGATTAGCTCCACTAATCTATATCTATATTATGTACAATATAATATTGTACATAGTAACGAATAAATGGCTTTGTCCCATCGGAAAAACCAGTCCATTCAAGCAAACATTACCTCATATTTTATCATTTTTTGCAGTGTACATGCATGGATTCAGGTTCTGTGTATTTGTCATTTGTGGATTAAAACCGTTGGAAGACTTGTGCTGAAGTAGCCGCTAAAGATGACAACCAATCAACAGCAGCGTGCGGTTTGTAAAATATGGACAGAGAAAAACATGTTCTGTTTATTGTCCTTCGTATGACGCAGAGACTTTGTGTAATGACATTTTCACTCAAATAGTTTTAAAGTAGCTTCATCTGTTGGTAAGAAAGAAAACATTTGAAAGGACAGTATGTAATGTGCTCAAAACAAAAGGAAATGAAAATTAATAGAAATAATGGTTTTCTTCCTGTCTGTGACACATGCAGCATTTAAGCACTAATTACTCATGCAAACCACCTGCTGGGGTTTGATAGAAACAGTGCAAAGGGTTTTGGGTTAACATGATTTCATTTAAACACTGCTATGTTGTTGTTGTTCTGTTAAAATACACTAAACAAACTGACTCTCACACTGCGCTCTGATTGGACAATCTGCTTGAAAATTGTAAACATATATATTATAGACTTCATGTGTTTGTCGTGTGCTTGGTCTGCTGCTCTCGCACATGAGCGGCCCGGTGGCTGAGTGGTTAGCAGTCTTGCTTCTCTGTAAAATAGTCCTGGGTTTGAATCCCGGTCAGAACAGGGCCTTTCTGAGTGGAGTCTACATGATCTCCCCGTGTCTGCTTAGGTTTCTTGCAGGTGCTCCGGTTTCCCCTACCACTAAAACATGCACAATAGGTCTGAACGTAATGAGTGAGGGAATGGATGGTGTTTGGTCGGAGGTTTTGATGGACTAGTGTGTTCGGTGTCTCGCTTCAGTCATCACCGCGTGGAAAGAACAATATCTGATTTCTGAACATTGTAAAGTGCTTTGGGTGAACTTGGTCTGTAGAATGCGCTATATAAGTTCACAATACTCACTTTTTCTGCCATTGAATCACACAAAGAGATGTTGGTTCTTACGGTTGAGACTGAGACGTTATAATATTAATAATAATAATTTCTTATCTGTATTGAAATCCTGTGTAACTTTCATCCAAGACTCCATTGATAAAGCAGTTCTTAATGTCAATGGGAGTTTCCTGGTTAAATAAAGGGTAAATAAAATCAAAATCAAAATGATGTCTCTTGCGTAATCAATTGAGCAATGAAATCGGTCCAAACTTATAAAACTTACACTAAGGTTGCTTGTTTGTAGTTGGGCTTATTTCAGGTTCACTGCTTCCAGTCTACTTCTCATTGTACTTTCGACCGCACAGGAACTTAGCCTTAGCCTTGGCCGTTCGTAAACGCCAGACAATTATTATTTCCCTACATGTGGTCCATGTGGCTGCAGTTTCCTCGGTTGAATCTCCTCCGACCAATCAGAGAGCGGGGGAGGCGGGTGTTGTAGGTCGGTGTCGGTGACGTCAAGAGTTTGTGCTGAATTTGCTGGTTGTAGTTTGTCGGAGAATGCGATAGTAAAATAATCTGTTCTGGTTCAATCCAAATATCAAGAAACTGAAGCCGGAGCAAGAGGAATGTTTAGTAAATGTCATTGAAGCAAAGATGTTGTGGCTCTACTCCCCACGGGCTCCGTTAGTGGCAAAGGAGATGGCTAAAGCTAGGCTAAATGCTAAAGCTAGGCTAAATGCTAAATGCCTCACTCACTCGGGCTCATTACATACGTCACAGTAAACTCAGATTAAATCGTTTCAATCTGCAAAAGGAGTTAACCCCTCCCAACTGTTAACCGAGTCAATGGAGCAAATCCAGACCTTAGTACGAGATGAAATGAGTACAGTGGTGTGGTAAGACCAGGCTGACATGAACCCACTGTGGACCCATTATGATTTACTATGTCTGTAGTATCCAAAAATGTGTTGGAGTTTTTTTTTTTGCTCCAATTTTGATGAAGAAACTGCATATTTTGATGGTATTTACAACTTTATTCTACGCAAGAACAACAAACAAGCTCCACCGCACGGAAACTTTATGAGATCTTTGATAAAACCGTCCGGAAGAGACCACTTGATCTTGTGCTTTCTGCTCGGTTCCAAAGGTTCTGACTTGTTTACTGCAGTCTGCTGTATATTAAAGGGAATAATCTAGTAAAGGATGACCAATGGAAATGTTGTTTATCTTGAGCTAAATTAGATCATGGCGGGGCACGGAGATGAGACGGAGATTCCAAAGCTTCTAGATGCAGAATCCAGCCCCGTTTATTCTCTTCTCTATTTACTGTTAATTAGCAACTGGCCATTCAACCATAAATACCACTTACATATGAGAGGCTGGTGGGCTGTGTGCTCAATCTAAAGTGGCTTATAGCAGCTCCAGTGCTCGCGTTTGATTAATGGTATCATTGCATTTCCATTTTATTTTTAATGTATTCCACCTTTTATCCCGTCTTTAAAACGTTGAAATCGTCTTTTACCGCTCTTTAAATATCCAAGTCATTTCCAAATGTTATTTTACTGAAATAGAATCTTGAATTACAAGAGTCAGCACATGGTGTAAGAAGAAGAACGTTTATTTATTATCTAAATCCAAATCTAGACCAAGCTAAAGTATGAGAAAATGAAACCGAAAAAGTCCAGGTCGCAAACAGGAAGCTCAGTCAGTCAAAATGCAAACAATATACGACATTTTTTCCTCAATATCAAATACAAACAAAAACAACTCGGTTCAAGACTCAAGAATGTATTTTCCATTTGCACTAAAACCACATTGGAAAAACCGTGCAAGACTCCCCCAGTGTGCACCAGACAACTTTCTCCGTGTGATGTTTTCCTGTGTACTTCTGATTTATGTTTTGATTGACAGGTGGGCACGTCTTCTCTGCTTTCCGGGGAGCTACTCTGAACCACCTCACTAATATCTCTCGTTTATATGATCCCTCGCGTAGTGGCCTATCAAACAATGCTATTTTCTGGCTTGGAAAGTTATTCTAATTGGACAAAAGAACGTTCTAATCCTTCAACATAATAGACTTTATGCTATACATTTAATGCAGTTTTCCAGTGAAGCTAATGAGAGGACTGGGAGCTTGTCTGAGAGTGTAACCGTGGCTGAATGTTATTTTTAGTGACATGCTTTTATGCTATTGAAGCGATAAGTCGTTAGCAACGTCTGATTTTCTCCCTGAAGTAGCTGCAGGTGTGAACAGGCCTGACGTAAAAGGAAGGTGCCGACGAAAAGTAAACTGGAAACAAGGCAGACTGAAACGCGGTTTGGTACATGGTTTAGACCAGTGGGGGGGGGGGGGGGGGGGGTTTCCGGGCTCCAAAAGGTCTTAAGGTTAGGGTCCTTGCCGGTGGGGGTGTACCCGGAAACAGAATTACCCAACGCTGTTGTATGGCGGTGTCTTTCCTCTCGAAAACGGCTTTACAGGATGGTCTAAAAGTGGGTCTTGGTCCAACGCTGTCGTTAAGGGTTTGACTGTAAATTACGGTATAAAAATCCAAGTTCATATTAAAAGGACAGCCGTGTTTGTTGTTGCTGGAGAAGTCTCTTGCTTACAGGGAGTTTAAACGTAGTAGATGAAGTATTTACCTCTGATCCTCTTCAAAGCAGAGTCGATACATACTGCTTTGATCTGGGTTTTTCCCAAAGGACAATGAGAATGCGCTGATAAATATGTAACCTTTTGGGGAATATATCTTATCCGAACCGTATGTGATTTTAGCTGAATAAAACTGTCTCGCTGGAGGTACAGGATAAAATCTCTTAGACATGGTGTTCCAGCCTTAACCGTCACCTACCTCTGGGCACAGCACCCACCTCATCCCCCCCGCCCTGCCGCTCTAATCCGTGTCGGCAGGCCTGACGAGCTGCACCCACCATGCATCTCTCCCTGTTTTAACCCTTTAGGCGCCAGAGTTTTTTCAAGAAAATATACAATTTTGATTTCAAGATTTCAAAAGGCTATAACTTTAAAATGGTTTGAGATAAAGGCATACTGTAAATTAGAAATATCTTCAGTTTGAACCAAACTTTGGGATGGAAGTTGATTCGTCATCTAATTTGCATATTGTGACGTCATCAAGGTGGCGGCCATTTTGGAAAATGTTAATTATTGTATAAAGACTTCAAAAAGCTGTAGCTTGGGAGTTATTTGAGATCAGGGAATACTATAAACAGTCAATGTGAAATATCTTTAGTATGAAATGAATTTGGGATAGAAAAAATTTCCCTGATCCAGATTATAGATAATGTTTTAGCACTGGTTCGCGGCCATATGGAATTGTATTATTTTCAAAGACCTTCAGTGATCAAGACAGCACTCTTTACAGTTTACAGTCATGAAAGCTTGAGATTGGTTTCAATATTTCCCTTTCAGAGAAGTAGTGGGCATACTATTTTTCTCAGTGGAAATGAGCCTCCAGGATTTACCGTTTAGAAACAGAGATGAAATGAATGGGCTCAGAACTTGGCAGATCGTCTCAACAACATACAACAGGCTCTTCAACACTTCTGATCCACTTTTGTGGATTATTTTCTCTCAAGAACTGCCTTCATCCTCATCATCGCTGCTGGTAAAGGCAGTGAACGCGATTAGCGATGTGTTTTTTTCCCGCGGCTCTCCCGCGACTTCTCCCGCGTCTCCCGTGTTCCCCGTGGATGTCTATCCCCGCTACTTTCTCCCACATGCCCGTTATGATCCCCCTGTCCCCTCCACCACGGATCCTGCTTGGCGTTCACAGAATGCTTCTACCGCGGCCACACGGAGGACAAGCAGCCGCTGTACTGGGGCTGATAGTGGACTATGGAGCGCGGTCTCCCCGTCACCAATAATGTCCGTGTCTGCTTCACTGGACACCTGTGTGTCTTCCTCCTCTGAATCTGAGTGAGCCAGTACCAAACCAAGTACTTCTCTGGTACTGAAGACCTCGTGGGTAAAATAAAAAACACTCTTTCCCTCTGCTCTGCTCTCGCTCCTCTCAGCTCTACCGCTGCTGCTTCGCCTCCGCACCGCTGCGCCGCAGGTGTTTTACCAACTCAATTTACTCAAAAACTTTCAATATAACCACACCCACAAATGCTGCTCATATTACAGGCACACATGTCCACTAACCCCTGGTGAAAAGTATTAACAAGATTCTGCACCACATTTTTACATACAGCCTGTTTAAGTGAGCAATGTTGCTTGTCGCAATATTGCGACTTTGGCGCTTAAAGGGTTAACCACCACCAAGCATCTACCCAGGCTGCGCGCTCTCTCCTCCCTGCAGCACCTGTCACTGCCTGGGCTCAGATTACCTTCCAACCTACCTCCACATGGAGCACCAGCAATAAGCCAAGAACACCCGATGAGAGATTTTTCACCCCCCGAGTCCTGGCATGCCACCCTCATTTGATTTGCCTTTGAAAAAATGCATTTGTTAATGAGGATAAGAGTTATGGAGTGTGCTCAGCTATGATCTTTCAACAATTTCATTTGTGTAAAAGACAAAAGACTAAAAGAAGATTGTGGTGTCGCTGATCGGAGGAATTTATTCATGATTTGTTAGGAGGAGGAGTTATGTTTTTTTGGCGGTGGGTGGAAACTTGTAAACGGCTAAATGCTTTGCTAGCTGCTAAATTATTTGGTTATTTATAATTGAAGGTATCATCCAACTTTAATTACAGTCTCATGGTCCAGGATCAGACAAACACATCACATAAAAACACAAAACAACACATATAATCACAACAATAAGCCTCACTTCTCATATCACTTCTCACTTCTGGGTGGATCTTCAAGACTATTGGTCCTCCTACTTGTCAATCATTCTGGTGATACGTGCTCGTCCAATAAGACCAGAGAGTTTTGGAGAGGGCGGTTCTTTTCCTAAAATTTGGGACAATCCTCATATACACCATTACGTTTAATGAAATAACACTTATATTTTTCTCTCTGGTCTTATTTGACGAGCACGTATCACCAGAATGATTGACAGTCAGGAGGACCAACAGTCTTGATGATCCACCCGGAAGTAGAAAATCATATATATACTGCAATCATCCTAGTTACTTCATGCACTTCATGGGTGCATTGGGCGACACGATGGCTGAGTGGTTAGCATTGTGCTAAAGCAGCAAGAAGGTCCTGGTCCTTGGAATCTTGGTCAGTGGAGTTTGCATGTCCTCCCTGTGTCTGCCAGAGTTTCCTCCAGGTGCTTCGGGACTCCCTTAGAAAAGAGATTGTGAACTCTCTGGGGGATTTTCCTTGTTTGATAACGGTCAATAAAACAATACAAATGTAACTTTTATCTCTTGGAATCAGAACTCTTCCTCTTCCTCTTATGTTTTTTTTTACTTTACTATCCCTAATAATACTTTGTCATTTTTAACTGTTTTTTATACTAGTGTCTACTTTTACCTACATTTATAAGACTTATAAGTACTTTTGCCAAAAATCCCTGTAAGTCAATGTCCAGTGGCTCAATTGGTAGAGCATTGGCCTTTGAGCCTGAAGGTCGTGGGTTCTAGGCCCACTGCGAGACCTTCTCCACCGACTCCACTGGTTTCTGCTGTCGTTGTGTCCTTGGGCAAGACACTTAACCCACTTTACCACTGAGGAGCGTGGAAATAATGTCCGCTGTTTGCCTTGATGTGTTTGTGTGTGTTCATCAAACGGAAATGTCCCCATTGAGCGACAGATAAAGGGCCTTCTTCTGCTTTTAACTGTCAGTGTGAGTGGTAGCACGTATGTAATCCTTTATAGTTTGACAGAACCAACCCCAAACAGCAGCAGTTACAGCAGGAAATGAAGAATTTAACCATATTGGATTAACTTGAACTCAATATCCCATTTCAGACAGTCATTATGTTGTTTATTGATGGCCATTTTTATCCTTAGTGAGCGGGGTGAATTTTTGACGACGCGTATTTTGTCCTTTTTGTATGTTTATCCAAGGCAGAGGGGCGATTACTCAAGCCAAGTGAAGTGCATGGAGAAGTAGTCAATACAGGATAAATAAATGGGCCCTTGTCTGACTGCCTTCTCCAAACCGTCTACTTTAATTAACTCATCAGTCACTGGGCCAACAAGCAATCCAATTTGTAGCCTGTAAGTGACTCTGTGCTTATGCCCATCTCAGGGACTCCGACAGAGGGCAATAGGATACTGCCGTTCACTGTACTTTAGTCTTTAACCACCCATGTCCCCATTTTGTGGCCAGGCTCACCGATTTTAAAACAGTCAAGGGAAGAAAATCAGAAATGTGAAGAAGCATTTACATTTAAAGCTGTCCTGGTCGTATCTGAACTATTGTCTGTCTGCCTTAGTGTATGTGTGTATGTCTGCACCTGTATTGTATGTCTGCACCTGTATTGTATGTCTGCACCTGTATTGTATGTCTGCACCTGTATTGTATGTCTGCACCTGTATTGTATGACTGCACACGTATTGTATGTCTGCACCTGTATTGTATGTCTGCATCTGTATTGTATGACTGCACATGTATTGTATGTCTGCACCTGTATTGTATGACTGCACATGTATTGTATGTCTGCACCTGTATTGTATGACTGCACATGTATTGTATGACTGCACCTGTATTGTATTGTATGTCTGCACCTGTATTGTATGTCTGCACCTGTATTGTATGTCTGCACCTGTATTGTATGACTGCACCTGTATTGTATTGTATGTCTGCACCTGTATTGTATGTCTGCACCTGTATTGTATGTCTGCACCTTTGTTGTATGTCTGCACCTGTATTGTATGTCTGCACCTGTATTGTATGACTGCACCTGTATTGTATGTCTGCACCTGTATTGTATGTCTGCACCTGTATTGTATGTCTGCACCTGTATTGTACTGTATGTCTGCACCTGTATTATATGTCTGCACCTGTATTGTATGACTGCACCTGTATTGTATGTCTGCACCTGTATTGTATGACTGCACATGTATTGTATGTCTGCACCTGTATTGTATGACTGCACCTGTATTGTATGTCTGCACCTGTATTGTATGACTGCACATGTATTGTATGTCTGTACCTGTATTGTATGACTGCACCTGTATTGTATGACTGCACCTGTATTGTATGTCTGCACCTGTATTGTATGTCTGCACCTGTATTGTATGTCTGCACCTGTATTGTACTGTATGTCTGCACCTGTATTATATGTCTGCACCTGTATTGTATGACTGCACCTGTATTGTATGTCTGCACCTGTATTGTATGACTGCACATGTATTGTATGTCTGCACCTGTATTGTATGACTGCACATGTATTGTATGTCTGCACCTGTATTGTATGACTGCACCTGTATTGTATGTCTGCACCTGTATTGTATGACTGCAATACAGTCTCTTTTGTGCAAGATAATATACAATATCATGTACACTACAAAATTTAAAGTGACTATAGCAGTGCGAGTTTTTTCTCTAAGCGTCTTGCCCAGGGACACAACGACAGCAGATATTAGTGGGAGCAGGTCTCGTGGTGGGATCGAACCCCAAAAACTGAGCTACTGTCGACTTCATTCATTAATTCTTTTAGGCCCTGTCCACACGAAGTCAAGCTCAGGCCTAAACGCAAAAATACTTTATCAATCCAGTGTATCGTCCATACGAGGTCGGCGTTTTGGGGGGGTGTAAACGAACATTTTTGAAACTAGGTCCCAGAGTGGAAAGATTTCAAAACTCCGTATATGCCGCTCCGTGGTTACTGCCTCTCCGCAATGTATCTGAGACACTTGCGTCATCGCCCCGCCTCTTGTTAAAGCACGCATGCGCCGCACTCAGAAAATAATGACAACAACAATGTAGCTTGTTGGTTTTGTAATCCAGTGTGACCCGAAGCAACAGTTCAACCTCATCGTCCGCCCAT